CGCGCGCATATGAAAATACGCACATATACATGTATGTGTACATATATCTTCTTTTTTATTGGACACCACTCAGATTGCATTAGAGGCCCCCTACTATAGTTTGACATGCTAATTTAACCGACCATATCTTCCAAGGCCTATTTCCAAGCAAGGTCCTATCCACAAGGACTGGAAGTTAGGACTTCAACAGGTATTTTGAGAAAGTGCATATTCAATCCATCGCAGGTTCAATTCCGGACCTGACCACTCCCTGATTACGTGACCTTCTAGAATACTCTTGCCCTCTTTTGCCTCAGTTTCTTCCATTAAAAGGAACGGGGTAAGAAGGGATCCTCAGGCAGGTTGATCCCTCTTCTCGGCTTTTTCCTTCTCGTGCAGTGAGGCCACAGACCCTTGAGGGCCTGGTGGTCACATGCTGCGCTGTAACCACAAGGTCAATAGTTCCAAACCGCCAGCTGCCCCGCAGGAAAAAGACGAAGCTTCCCGCGCCGGTAAAGAGTTGAAAACAGACAAGGGCAATTCTACCCTGTCCTGCACGGTCACCGGGAGTCAGGCAGGAATCGATGGCAGGGAGTCGTACTTTGATTTTATTGGGAGAAACGACTGCGCCGGTAGTGGTGAGGGTGGCTTCTGTGAAGTGCCGGGCAGGCACACTGCCAAATTTTAGATATCATGGTCATGGTTTTCAAACGAGGCACAGAGCCCAGGGGCCTCAGGTTAGCCCGGGGCAGAACCACAGCGGCATGCAGAACTCCCCAGGAAACCAGAGGCCGAGTTCAGAAGCGGAAATCAAGCCTGTGGACTTCCAGACCCTGGGTTCGCCTTGGGCCCCCTGGGGTCTTCCTCTGGAGATTGATGAGCGTGCTTGGCACGGCCCCCGAGAGTTGTGTGCGGACGGAGCTGAGCCCACCTTTTGCACCCCGTCTGTGGGTGAGTCAGTTAACATCTCCCTCACGCCAGCCCCTTATAAATCAAGAGCGGGCTTTCCATGTGCTGTTTGCCTCCCTCTGCCCTCATGCGGAGGCCTGACCACTGAGGAGTTTATCTGTGCAGTGGACTTCTTGCTGGAGTCCGGTCTGCCCTGCTCCCCACTGGGCAATGATTCATGTTGCCCGAGCACACAATATCCTGACATCCATAGTGCTGGTGGCCTTGGCAGAGCCCGGCTCCCGGGCACCTCCCCCCCCCTGTCTGGGTGGGAATCGCAGACATGAACCCTGGCTGACAGGAAGCTCCCGGCTTTGGACGGATGGGGAGCCAGGCTTGGGTGGGCAGGAAGGGTATGGGAAGTTCATCCCTCCACTCTGTCTGGACGGAGGCCCTCTGTGTATTAGGCCCTGCGACGGGCTCAGGGCAGCTTTGGGGGTGCACTCAGCCTAGCTGGGAGTCAGGCCCGGCGTGAAAATGCACAGCCCTTGGTTGTGAGGGAGCCCAGGGCAGGGCATTAGAAGGAAGGCCGGGAGGCGGGTCTTCATGGAAAGCCTTGCTTCCTTGTACAGGTGAGGTCAGCATCGGGCTGGGCACAGAGAGGGCTCCCAGGTTGAGCTACCTCAGCTCTCTGCACTCACGGTCTGTTTGGACTTGCCAAACTCCAGAGCATCCACAGTGGGTACACCGGGGAAGCTGTCTGCTGTCCTGCACCCCTGCCCAGGCATGTAGCTGCTCCGGTCTGCGGCCTGCTGTCAGAATGCCGAGTTCCCGTGTTAATCATAACAAGCGTGTTCAGAGAGGAACTGGCCTGGCCTATGCCAACAAGCCCTCCCTCCAGCCTTGATAGCATCTGCACCGAATTTTCTCCCTTTATATAATTAGGCCCGCTGGTGTTTTCTTTGACTTTGGACTTGAGTTTGACTGGCATCTCTGACATGCTGGGCCCCGGTGTTGGGGAGAGCCCAGGCTGGTGGGAAAACCGAGCTCTGTGTGGTGAGCTTGCAGGTTCAGTCCGCAGGGTCAGGAGCAGTGCACCAGCTACTGTTCGCATCAAAGTACACAGCAGCTCCCTGGCTGCTGGGAAAAGTTCTCTCGCCTGGTCCTCAGAGCCAGGTGGAGGCGGGCCTGCTGCATGGACAGAGGCCGGCTGGCCACCATTCTTCCCTTTCTGCCACCCTTCTCGACCCCATGTCCTCCCACCCCTCCTCCGTGCCCAACCTTGGAGTGACAGAACTCCGCAAACAGGAAAAGATGCACTGACAACATAGAAATGCAGTGGATACACACACACACACACACACACACACACACACACACACACACACACACACCCCACCCCAGCCAACTTCACAAGTATTGAAGTGCTGAGTCTAGCTCTGATGTGACTCTCATTGTCTGGCTATGCCGGGCTGGGGGAACTGCCTGGGGGGTGAGCTCATGAGCAGAGCTAGGCTGGGAGGTGGAGCGTGCGGCAAAGGAAGCGATGAGTGGGCTTGCGGACCCACTCCTCGGCGTCTCTGGGGGAAGCTGTATCTCAGCAGTGACTCATTTCCCCTTGTCAGGTTTCTACAGCCTCTGGAAGATTCCAAGCAGTTAGCCACACTGGTTGTGGTGTGGGAGCTTCTAATCTGTTTGCTTGTACTTTCCCTCTGGGACCCCGGAGGCCCCAGATGAGTGATAATTGCATGATGGAGTATTTGCTAGAGGAAGGGGGAATGTATTTGTTTAAGATAAGGCTTGATGCCGAGCAGGGGCCGTGTTTCCTGATCCCTCTGCAATGTCGAAGAGCAAAGCATGAGTGCACGCCTTCTTCCCTGTTGCCTGACTGTTTATTGCCTCTTGCTCCAACTCTTCAGACCCCAGGTGAACTGCTACGTCAGGGGGCTGCCTAGAAGTAGGGCAGAGGGCCACGTTGGGGTAAGCCTGCCTCGCAGAGCCATCCCGCCGTTTTCCTTTGTTCTACAGAACGGTGGAGCCCTTCCTAGGCAGCCTTCCAGCAGAAAGACATTTGCTCGGTGTAACTGAGCAAACCGAGCTAGGCTGTTCTGTGCCCTCGTTTTTCTCCTAGTAGACTGCAGTTTCCCTAGGGGAGGACCCTCCTCTTGTTTCACAGTGCCTGTGGCAGGCCCACCCTGGGGCTGGTTCACCTCTGCCCACAAGGGCCGTGAGACCACCTTATTTATGCAGCCATCGATGGGTGGGCATCTGCCGTGTTTCCACCTCTGGGCCTTTGTGAGCCATGCTGTAGTGAATGTCAGAGTACATGCCTCTGGTTCCGTGACACGTCCACCCATTCTGAGTGTGTACGGAGGAATGAGAGGGCTGAGTCACACGTCGCTGTTTGTGGAACCACCAAACCGTGTCCTACAGCAGATGCACCGTTTCACATCCCCACCCACAACTCACATGGGTTCCCAGTTCTCCGCAGCCTCACCCATGCTCGTTACTTTCCACTTGTTCTGATCGTAGACATCCTGGCGGGTGTGAGGTGGTAGGCTGTTGTGGCTGACATTGGCGTTTCTTTGATGACTGAGGATATTGAACCCTTTTTCGTGTTTATTGCACACTTGAATGTCTTCTCTGGAGAAAGCTCTATTCAAGTAACTTGCCCATTTAAAAGGACGGACTTGTCTTTTTAATCCCTGACCTATAGGAGTTCTTTATAGATTGCAGATTCTAGTCCCTGTGTTAGTCCCGGTAGACTAAAAAAACAAATTCATAGACACTCATGTGTGTAAGAAAGAGATTTACATACAAGAGCAATTGAATACTGAGAAAAAACATCCCAGCCCAGTCTAGATCAAGTCCATAAGTCCGATATTAGCCCATAGATCCAATACCAATTTATAAAATCCTCTTCAGACCCATGAAACACATACAATGACACCAAATGCAGGAAGATCACAGGCCAGTGGGTGGGAAGTCTTGTGGATCCAGTGGTGTTGTAAACAGCTCAGTGCTGGCAAGGGTCTCCACATGGTTCCTCCAGCTCCCAGAGTCCTGGCTGCATCAGGGTGGCTTCTTGTCAGAAGTGTCTCTCAGGGAGCGAGCAGAGAAAGAGTCTCCTGCCTCCAGGGAGGAAAATACAGAAGTTCCCAGAATCCTCTGGAGAAGGCCATGCCCCACACAGGCCTCATTGGCTATGACTCGATTGACAGACTAGACTCCACCCCTTCACTCTTTTTTATCCCTTTAAAAAAAATACTTTTATTGGGGGCTCTTACATCTCTTATCACAATCCATACATTCCTCCAATGTGTCAAGCACATTTGCACATATGCCGCCAGCATCATTTTCAAAGCATTCTCTTCCCACTTGAGCCCCGGATATCAGCTCCCCATTTCTTCCCCTTCTCTCCCCCACCCGCCCTCCCTCACGAACCCTTGATAAGTTATAGATTATTTTTCCATATTACATTGTCCTCTGTCATCCCTCACCTTCACTCTTAATCCTCTCAAGTCCCACATTGATACCAGATTACCTAGCCAGCACAGCCCCTCAACAGATAGATGATTTGCAGGCAACAATTCCTCCCCGTTCGGTGAGCTGTTTTTCTGCTTTCCCGGTCATGCCCTTTAAAGCACAAACATGTTTTGAATCTCCACGGCGTCTCAACACTCCTTTTCCCTGCTGTTGTTTGTGCCTTCGGTGTCCTATGTGAGAACCCATTGCCAGACTCAGCATTGCAAAGATGTGTCACATGCTTGTGAAGTGAACTTACTAAATAACCCTACCAGGAAAGGGCATAGCCCCCAGACCAGAAGACAGCAGGTCAAATGCTATAGCTGGGGTTTAAACCCCGTGCAGTTGGACGGAATCAGTGCACATTTACCTGTGCTTCCTCCCCAGAGTTTGGCAGAGTGGCTGGGGCATTTTAGGTCCTTCAGTAACGCACTCTGCATGGTCGAAGGACGGGCCCTAGAAGGTGCTGCGTTTGCACTTGCTGGTTGATTTGAGTGGGCCGGGGTTTGCTCCTCCGTCATCCTGTGGATGGACTGGGGCCTCGTGTCCTCACTCTAGAGGTGACGGCTCTTCCTCTCTCTCTCTCTCTCTCTCCCTCCCCTCCACAGTGTCTCATCATTGGGGGAGGACCGTGCGGCTTGCGCACTGCCATTGAACTTGCCTACCTGGGGGCCAAAGTGGTCGTGGTGGAGAAGAGGGACACCTTCTCCCGCAACAATGTGCTGCACCTCTGGCCGTTCACCATCCACGATCTGCGGGGCCTGGGAGCCAAGAAGTTCTACGGGAAGTTCTGTGCGGGCTCCATCGACCATATCAGTGAGTAGGCCCCATGGGGACGCCCCGTGAGGGGACACATCTCTGTCCTACACGTCTGGGGGTGGGGGTGGCTCCACTTAGTGCTTTGTCCCAGATCATGTGCTCCGCTCCACTAGGTTACACGCACTAAGAGGCTGGGTCTGTGGCACATTTTGTCCATCGGTCTGTCTGCAGGATGCAGGAGGTAGGTGCTCAGGAACTGCAGAAGCAGGCAATGGGCCAGCTGATGGAGGACTTCTCATGCTAAGGCATTTGGACATTGTGCTGCCAGTTTGGGGCGCCATCGCAGGTTGTAGGACAGAGGAATGGCACCCTCGGATTCCCGTTCCCTGGCAGGTCCTGTACCAGTGCCCTCAGGGCTTTAAAAGAGAGGGCAGGTCTGGGGGGCTGGCCCCAGTCCCAAATACTAAGTGGATGCCTGCCCCTCCCCCGAGAAGAAGTTATTTCAAAGGATGGTACTGAATCCGCAGCTCCGGGAGAAGGATATATCGGACCAGAGCACACAGGAGCAGATGACGGGGGAGGAGGAGAGACTGGAGCACATCCTGGCCCACCAGGCCTTGAGGAC